GAGAGAGAGAGAGAGAGAGAGAGAGAGAGAGAGAGAACGACGCCGAACAGCATGAGGTCTGCAGGACGTGAACGTTGATTTCCGCGAGCTGGGCACGGCAGGCCCAGCCTACAGCATAGCTAGGTTGGACGGGCGACGACGAGCTGACTTGGAGCTGTCTTCCGAGTTCGTGGATCGCTGAGTGGAAGGAAGATAAGGGGGACGCTGACGTGTATGAGCGCGTGAAGAAGGAAAGGGAAAGGGAAAGGGGGTGCCGAAGGGAAACGTGGGGGGGAAGGGAAGGAAAAAAGAGTTTTGTGTACCAAGCGCGGCCGGAGTGCAGGGAGGGTATCGCCGGCCTAGGAGAAGTTGTGAGGGGATGAGGATAACCTGGACCACACCGGGGGGATGCCTGGACGTGAGACGCGTGGCATGATCCACGAGAACCGATAAGATGGAGGTAGGGCCGTCGCGACCGAATAGCCAGAAGCTCGGTACTGTATGTTTAGCATGGAGGAAGGGGGTGTACGTGTGGGATGCTTCGCGTGCCAGCTCGTCTGGCTGGCGGGGGACCGGTAGCAGCTACCGAGGAGATTTAGGAGGAGGCGGCGGCTTTCCACGGGAGGATGTTTTTATTTGTTTTTTTAATTGTTTATAACTAAGCTATATTCTTCTCGCAATTTTACCTTTCACTATCTACCTACCACAACTCCTAAGCCTATACAGGGGACCGCTGCAAGCATGGCTACCTCTGACGGATGTATGTTGCCCCCCGCCCTAATGGGCGGTGGTCAGGGAGCAGTTGTGGGGCCGCCGGCATAGGCCGAGCATTTTGCCAGAAGCTGCGCCTCCCATCTACTTCCCCCACCCCCCATCGAGTAACAGCAGTGGCTATGGCCAACAGTCTCCCACACACCACACACAAACCTCTCACGCTCTCATTCACACCCTTGGGCCATAGACCTTAGTAATACCGATCAGGGGTATCAAGCGGACTATCACAGTTGGTTGGCTCAGACGGTAGTGGGGCTCGAACCCACAACCTCCTGAATGCCGCTTGCGTGCCTAAGCAACTGAGTATTTGTGCTTGACAGGGTTTTTTTTGTTGCTGTTGTTGAAAAGGCGACAGTCTTGAGAGGTCATCTTTGAACTGGCCGGCCCCTGGTAAATTGAGAGTTGTTTTCACTCATCTGATTCCATCGGAATTCTAACTGGCGTCTGTATTTGGACAGTTCACCGTTGTACCAGGTGAGGTTTGGACAGTTCACCGTTGTACCAAGTGAGGGCCTCGGGACACCACTCTTGAAAACTCAGGGCCTAGTTGCACTACTCACCATCCGTCACATTTCGTGGCGGATCCGTGGAGAGTGAAAAATATGAGAATCGTGTCGAACTCGAGGCCTGGTTGCACGTACTCGCCACGAGATTTCTTCTACAGAAACGTTAAAAAAAATTCTCCCCCATGTCGACTCGTGAAGCCCTGCACTCTCCAGAAAGCTGTTTTGTGGCGAGTTCCGAAGACCACCCTCCACAAACCGCCGTGCACAGGCGGGGAAACTGAATTCACTCTCCACAAGTTGTGTCGACGGTGTGGCGAGCCGTCTGACACATTTTGCATTCGCCAAGTTTGGCGAGTAAGTGCAACCAGGCACCTACTCGCCAAACTTGGCCTATGGCGGTAGTGCAACTAGGCCCTCATTTTCGAGAGTTGCAGCGTCGCCACACAGCCTCTTGAAAGGTTTTTGGCAAAAACTCTTTCAAGAGGTGTCAGACCTTGGGCCTCGCCACACCACTCTCGAATCTCGAAAATATTCGAGGGCTGTCAGAACTTTTGGAGAGGGCGGTTTTCGAGAGAAAAAGGCCCTTCGCCACATAGCACACCCGAAATTCTCCTCTCGAACGTGGATGCTCTCCGCGGCCAGATTCGGTAGTGCTGTGTGGCGGAGCCAACTCTCGAATTGGAAGCGTGTCCGGCACCTTCGGCCTCTCGAAGAAGGTGCGTGGTAGTGCTGTGTGGTGGAGCCAACTCTCGAATTGGAAGCGTGTCCGGCACCTTCGGCCTCTCGAAGAAGGTGCGTTTTGGAGAGTTGCTTTCGAGATTGCGCTGCTCTCCTTCAGCGCACTACACGAAAACCCCGAAGCTGCAGGCTGGGCTTAAACATCGTTTCGAGAGGGCCCTCGAAACCGGCGTTCCGACAGCTCTCGAAGACATCCGAGGGGTTTTTTTTCGGGAGGCTGTGT